CTGCAAAAAGCAGCAGCTTTGAGTAGGGTTTTTTAACTTCCAACCCAGTGGTTCCCTCCAAAGTATATATTCCACAAAGTAGTATGCAATAAGGCTGTCTGTAACTGGGCAGGATATGAGGGCCCATGACTGTATCTCCCAAATTAAAAATCACTAAAGAAATTGATTCTCAGACAGGGCTAGCCTGTCTACTCAGTCTCTTACATCACACGTATACCACCATCACATGTTTCAAAATCTCTCTGTTTATACATTGAGGTTTCCATGGAAAGTGTCTGCTTCACTTCTGTAGCTTCAAGGCCTGAAATAGTAATCCTTACCTATTCACTTAGGTTAATGAGCAATTTTTTCAAAGTGCTTATGTGAAAGAAGAATCTAACATCTATCCATTATTCACATCTTAACAAGAATCGCTTCAACTAGGTTGATTTTATACTCCCACATGTCCTAAAGTAATAGCTATTTTGAATAGGCTGGGAGAGGAGTATAAAGAACTTTGAATGTCTAAGTAAAGGGTCTATAGAGAAATTTTTGAAAATTAGGACACAGCGGGGTGGGGGCACCTGGGTGGCTCAGTCGTTTGGGTGTTCGACTCTTGATTTCGGCTGGGGTCATGATCTCCAAGTCAGGGGATTGAGCCCCTCCTCGGGCTCTGCGCTCAGTAAGATTCTTGAGATTCTCTCCCTTGGCCCCTGCCCTCCTCACGTGCATAGGCGCTTTCTCTCTCTCTGTTTAAAAAAAAAAAAAAAGGCACTGGGTACCTGAAAAGATTGAGGAAGGCATCTGGGTCAGTAGAGGGTGTATGAAGAAAGAGAAGTCAGAATACACAAAGAATAATTTTTAACAATGATATTCCAGACTGGTTGTGTGATAAAGAAATAGATAGAAAACTCTCTTCGTTTTTTCTTTTCTTCCCCCATATTTATCATATAGACTTCTCAGGGTGATTGAGAAAAAATACCATTTGCACCATCAGTTAGTTCTGAACAATGTAAACTATAGAGCCAGGCAGGGCTGGGTTTCAGTCGCAGCTCTGCCGTTCCTGACCAGGCAGCCTCGGGAGATTCAGGCAACCTCTCCAAACCCAAGTTTTTAATCTGTAAAATGGCAGAAGTACTTACTTCATAAGGTAATCTTGAGAACTAAATTTACGTAAAGTACTTACTATATTGCTTCAACCAGCAAATGTTCAATAAATGGCTGTGTTACCACAACTTGGCCAGCTTATGGAACAAATAGGAACAATTAGTGGATTGGTCTAAACATGCACCTATGTTTCTTGAGAAATTTTCACGTTCCAAACAAGTGGCTTTGATATGGTCTTTCTTACACCAACATTTAAATACTTACTTTAGGGGCACCTGGGTGGCTGAGTTGGCTCAGGTCATGATCTCAGGGTCCTGGGACAGAGCCCCTGTCAGGCTCCCTGCTCAGTGGGGAGTCTGCTTCTTCCTCTCCCTCGTGCTGTCTCTCTCTCAAATAAATAAATAAAATCTTTAATAATAAATCAATAAATACTTACTTTAAAAATTCAATTTACTTTTTAAAGAACTGCTGATCTTTTCAACTGCCATTCTTATTTACTTAGCTATTCACCTACCATCTTATTCTCACAACTAATATAAACTTCACCCTGAACTGAGAGCTCCTTAGGAGCAAGGACTGTCTTTATTGGTAATCATTTATTGAACATTTATATGCCAAGTGCTAGGCATAAAAATATACATACAATACGGTTCCTTTCCTCATGGGTCTTAAGTTCTACCTGGGGAAAATGATATGCAAATACAATCTAAGATAATGCATATTATAATAAAGATGTGTGCCAAGAATTGTGGAGTATAGTGGGAGAAGAAATTCATTTTTTCTGAATTGATAAGAAAATCTTAGTAAAGGGGGTGACATTCAAACTGAGCCAAATGTGCGTCAAAGACAATAATAAATGAAAAAGACATGAGGGAATAGGGAAATAGATATGAGCTACTACTGCAGGGAAAGATTCCTACATGGCCTAGGTTTTATTTGGACCTTGAATACAGAAGATGAGGATAAAATATGGAACAGCTTGGTATGTATCTAGGCGTGTATGTAATAATAAGATATACTATTAATAAAAGGTAAGTTAGCTGATGAGAAATAAGGGAAATAAGTTTGGAGAGGTGCTGCCTTGGAACTAGATTTTGCAAAGGTGCGGGAACTAAGCAAGGACATTCCCTAGACTTGGAAGTTCCAAGGACTTCATGCAATAAAGGCATATAGGTTCCAAAACCAGGTACTACGTGGAACATGGTAAAAGGGAAGTTGGAGAAAGGTTATTCCAGCAGTGATGCTGTGGGTAAAGATAGCAGATTAGATCATCTTCAAAGCAATTTCATTAATTCAGGTGTCTAGGCATTAATGCCATAAGTCTAGCCTGGAACATCTTTGGAGAACAACTGTGAAGATATAAAAATGACATTTTATAAATATCATCGGGGATATTTGAATAATAATATTATTGGCAAATATAGCAAAGGTAACATGGAAGATGAATTGTTTTTTAAGTGAACAAAGTTTATTTAGTGCCATATATGCCAAATATGATGTGATAATAATATAATGCTATAATACACACATATATAATATGTATGTTATATTCCATTTGAAAGCTATTTCCCACTGTATGTATTATTTTACCAAATAAATTATCCATTTCTGCTGGACAGAATCTCATCTCATATTTCTCATACATTATAGAGCCTACCACTGTGAAGGACATAAAGGCAGCATTTCATAAAAATCTTATTGTCTGGTGAAATAACTGAGGCCAGAATTATCAGGAAACCAGCCCAAGTCCTAAATGGAGTCAGCAGTGAATAAGAATGGAATCCACTTTCCTTTATTGCAATATAACTTCCTAATATTGATAGAGTGGGAAAAGTTCCAAACAGTGCCACGTCATTCTAGATAATAAAACTATGGATCAGTTTACCTTGTGATATTCAGTAACACATTTTATGGACCTAAAACATCAAGGAAAATAGTCCAAAATCATGTTTCTTGTCCATTTGTGTGTGTTTTTCACTTTAAAAAGGTGACCTTAAGGTGGGTGGGTGGGGAGGGCAAGAGTAAATCAGTTGAATCTTTCATAGCAGCATATTTACTTCACCAAAAAATAAAAAATAAAAAGACTTTAATTGAACAGAGAAAGAAAAAAATGTTTGAATTCCCCTTCCTTGACAAGATTCAGGGCTTTCCTGTGAGAATAAAATATACATTTGCAGTAAGTTTAGGTTTGAGGGTAGGATTTAAAGCTCTTGTCCATCAACATATCATAATGGATGGAGGTGACATGTGCATAATGGCACTTGTTTGAGCACTTTTGGAGAGAGCAGGGGAGTCTTTGCAGTGCAGTAAGGGAGTTTAAAAATTTAAGGATGTTTTCTTTTCAACGAGAAACAACACCTACTCAAAATAAGTTGGCAAATCCGTGTTCAGAATCTATGTCGTTGCCCTAACGTTCAGGAATGGTTAAGGAAGGAAATAGACTCTCAAGGTCACTGGGAATAGTCTTTAGAGTATTCTTATAGGGCTTATCTGTGCTCACATGCCTAATTTTTTTCCAAGGGCAAAGAATGGCCACTTGCTTGAGACAGGCCCAGTGCCATCCTTTATTCAAGTTCCTTTATACTCCTCTTTTTAAAGAAGCTGTCAAGTTCTTTTTCTGCAGCTGACAGAAAAGGCCAAATCTAGTACAGGAAAGGAGGCGCAAAAAGAAACTTTTTTGTGTTGATGTTTTACTAAGTGAGCTAAGGAGAATTTTAGAATCATGTAATTTACTCTGGAGGCATTTACTGTACATAGCTATAGTGATGGTAATTTCTTTCATTGTTGAAGTGAAAAGATAACCATCAATCAGTTGTCAATTGGTCAATTGCAGAAGTGATGAAAAGAAACTGGTAGGAACAATCACTTCTGTGGCTACCTAGACCATTTGTAGGCTTAAGAAAACTATGGGAACTGGATTGCGTTATAAAAGGGATTGGACCAGATTTTCAAAAAGGTTAATAGGCATAACTTCCTTGTAAAGAATGGCTTTGCGGTTATACATAATCAGGAAATGCATTTTTTAAAAAATGAAAAATGAAAAAGGCATGGGGTTTAAAAAAGTGAAAAATTTGTTTTATTAAGCTGGGTATCAGGTAAGTAAGCTCAGAAAATCTTGAATTTCAGTGTGTTCTTAATGGAGGAAATAAATATAACTTACAGTAACCCAAGACATGTATTTTAGAGCAAATTAATGAAAATTACTTAGTATTCATGCCTTAGTCTCAATATTGGGCACTTTAAAATAAATAACTTTCCAAGTATATCTCATAAGAAATTGAAAGTCCAGATTAATTTTGAATATGATTAAGCAAACATCTACACATAATTTAATTTTTAAAACGTCTGGCAGCTCACATAAACGTTAGCATAAGTTTTAAAATCATTAACTTGCATAAAAGGCAAATGCGCAAATGGCACTTTGAGATTTAGTGTTATAAGCAAGATTTCATTTTAATTTATCCTATTTTCCTAAGAATAGCAATGTTATTGATTTATTCTGAGAGTTCCCCCCACACACAGTGATGATTTTTTTTTTTTTTTTTTACTGTGGTAGGTAATAAAAAGGATTACAGGCCCCCAGAAGGATGAGATATCATCAGTTTGTAATCCAGCCCATGGTTTCCTAGATACCGTATTGTCTATTCTGTTCCGCTATGTGAAAAATGTTGAATATCAACAATGGGTTTCAGTGCTGTATTGTTGAGTTTTGTATGAACTAATCTAGCTTTACTAAGAAAAAAAAAAGAAAAGAAAAGAAAAGAAAAGAAAGAAAGAAGAAAAAAAAAGAAAAAAAAAAGAACCACAGCTTTGGACAAAAGTCTATAGCCAGTGCGTTTGAAACTCCCCTTGCACAAGGGCTGACTGTAGCTGGGGGAAGACAGTTTACTCATTTGCGCTCTCCTTTCATGCAGTCAGCTGGTCCTCTCCTCAGGTGTAGAGCACCTATTATCATTTCACCTGTTTTGATTCTCTGATGAGGAAAATCCCAGGACTTATCAGCCGGGATAGGCCTCATTTCCAAGACAGCTCTGTTCAGTGTTTGGAAGGTAAGCTCTTTGCACCACTTCTCTGCTGTAGTGTGCTGGCCTAGCTCTAGAACTTTGCATCATATCACTTATTTTTAACTTTTACTTTTTCTTCTCTTTCCTTTTTTTTTTTTTTGGAGAAAGAAAGCCTGACAGGTTTCTCCGGAAAAGTGGCCATCCATGGAATGAATGAAATGTTCCCTTTCTGTTCCAGTAAGTAATTGACTTGTAACTAAAAATTGAACTGGCTGCTATGTCAAGTGCAGTGTGAGCGGCTGCGGGCACAGGTGTTGCTTACTCTTTAGCCTGGAAAGAAAAGGGGCTTAACCTGTGATTACATTTCAAGTCAATTGACCTCAACATGATAGTACATAATGCTCACTTGCCTCCCGAATGGCCTGAGTTCCCATTTGACCCTGTTTCTGGCACCTGTGTTTTTAATGTTTGGTGTAGCTGAAGCTAGAGTTGCTCTTTTGGTTAGAAAGAAAGTGGGTGGAGAACAGTTCTAAGTAAATAACAAAGGATGGGCAGCCGACTAAGTCTTTAATCCGGTGCTCAATGTGTTCTGTTTTTTTTAATGCAGTAACTTTAAGTTCAAGTAAATTATTATTCAAACTTTCACTTTAAGAAGTATGGATTCATGGACGACCATTTTAGTACTAGGGACACACAGTAAATCCAAATCAGTGAGTTAAAACAAGCGAAGGATGTGAGGATTATGATGCTAAGGGCTTCAAATGCTTCATTTTGATTATGCAACTGGCCATAAGCTTTCTAAATTTGCCTTGCACTTTAATGATTTTTCAGCCCTAGGAATGAAATAGCAGCATTGTTTTTCCCAGTTTCTGTTAAAAAAAAAAAAAAAGACTGTTGAACTTGAGCAAGATGACCCTATTTGAGTTCTGGAGACAAACCTATATATACCTACTTCCCCAAAGCAAAATAAAAATCAGTGACATCTAACATTGCCATTTATACTTGAAGCTATTCTCCATTCATTTTATGTAAAATGGTCGCACGCTAAGAATTGGTCCGTGAGATGAGAGCAGTCATGGACTGCTGTTTTTTCTTCCTCACTTCCTTTTTAACCTGAGAATTAGAAGAAAATGCTGATGATGCTTGCTTAACCCTGCTTTTAGTGCCAGGCTGTGACCGGCTCTCTGTGAAACCATTTCTGAGCCTCTGCTTGCAGTGGTGAGCTTGAATTTTTCCCCTTCCTTGCCCATCACTGTCAGTCAATTATAGGATTGAACTGAACCAGAAAATCTGGTACAGTCTGGTAATTAGTACAAAGGGTTTCCAGTCTAGTGTAAAGACGGAGATGCAAGAGCCCCAGCAGTCACAGAAATCGTTTTGATTGGCCATGGACACTGCCTTTTAGTGCTGCTCGGTGACTTCCTAAAGATATTGCCTCCTACCCTACAGGTCTTCTCCTTCAAGTACATTATGGACCTTTTTTAAAGTCCTGTGTGTGTATGTGTGTGTGTGTGTGTGCGTGCATGCATGTGTGCATGTGTGTGCTTCTTTTTTTAGATCCAACTTCTCCCATTTTTAGTCTGTCATTTTTGCCTATCAAACAGACACATTTTGACTTGCCCAACAAAGAACCAAGTTACCAACATTCACAGAAACTGACATTTTTAATTCAGGCTTCATTATGTCTTTGAATTATGACAGTGAAGTACAAAGACATTTTAAAAGTTTTTTTCATTGTTTTTTTTTTTTTTAAATCCAGCATTGGAATGTTTATCTTTCTTTGGTATTCATATTTCCTTCTCTACCTTTCTTCTCAGTAATATATAATTAGCATTATCAAAACCATCAGCTATTATCCTTTATGACTTTTGACCTTTGTTTTTTTAATATGTCTCAAGCTTGCATTCTCTAAAATAAGTAAAACCTCCTTGAGAGATTTTAATGAAATATCTTAGGGTTACAAAAACAATAATTTAAAGTGCGAACCCCTTTTAAACAAAAACAATAAAATAATTTAAAACGTGAGTCTCTTTTAAACATGACTAGGCAAGTAATGGATTATGTGATAAAACTATAGCAACAAGATAAATTTTGGAAAAAATTATTTTGTAAATCAAACTTGCATTTGATGATAAGTGCAATTTTATAGTCTATATTTTATCACACATTTTTAACCACTACTTTGCAGTTCCTGGCTTATTATCAATGCTATTTTGGGGTAAATTATATTTTTTTGCAGAAGCAAACATCCTCTTTGATTACAGATTACAATCACTCATTAGTCACACATTAGATACAATGAATGCGTTTGGTAGCTTGTCAATGTAGCAAGTGCCTGCCCCAAAAGATAGACATATGTATCTTTAAGGGCAAATTTAATTTCTGACACCCTGTACAAAATTGCAAAAGCAATAGTGCCCAAAATAACAGGAGCAAAAGAAAGCACGCGGTTTTTTATTTCCATGGATGCTATCTTTAGAACAATCTGCATGATGATTTTAGTTGTGATGCTTGTGTGTTGGGAATCTTCTAACGGACTCTTTATTTACCCACATCTTAATATAGCTTTAAATATCTGTTTTATCCAATGTACAATCTTAACAAAAGTAGTTATATTACCACGTCTGGTACTGATTTTTACATGTCTGACTTTGCTATTAAATTTCAAGAAGGTTAATATTGCTTTTGTAACCCTGTCATGAGTAATGCATTTTCCCAGTAAATATGTCATAATTTTAAAGGCTGCTCAAGAAGCAGTGTTTTTGTTGAAATAGTTTTGCATTCATTTCTCTATTGTTTTTTAACCATAATATAGTGTAATGCTTTGAAAAGAATACGCATATTTATGTAATTAACACTTTTTGTTTTTAGCAAAACCTTGCCCATTAAAAACTAAGAGGGGCTGAGAAAACCATATAAATGGGCAACTTTTCAGCGACAATATTTGCATTCAATTTTAATTTACCATCAAGTCTATATCTTGAAATGTATCCATAAAGGGAATAAGGGAGGAGTATATTCTGATAATATTTTTTCTATTTTATTTTTTAATATAAAATAAATGTTGACATTCAAAAGGTGCTTGCCACATTATGGTATGGCAGGGTTCTATATTCTAGAAGAGCTGAATTCTCTGTGGGTCGGTATAAAATTAGAGGCTTTAATATGGACACACAAACATTCTTTTCTACTGCAGTTTATCTCCTGGTGGCAGAAGTAAGACTTCGAAAGAATCCTAAAGATTAGCTAGCTTCGTGGCTTTCAAACTGTGTTACCTTGAGCTCTTAGCCTCTTTGGGGATACTCAGGGCCATGGGGGAAGGGAGGCTCAGTGGCCTCCACCTCCTCGAGACCAGAGCATCTCTGCTTTTACCCGCTGTGACTATTAAAGTTCCACGGAAGAAGGGAATCTCATGTTGGAGGCAAAAAAGTAAAAAATTGCTGACTGAGGCCATCTTATAGATAAGGAAAGCAGCGTTCACTTAGGGTGGCCCGCTAAGTCAGTGACAATGTCAGTTTTGTAACCTAGTCTCTTGTCTCATAGTCCCAAGTTCACTCTACTAAACTATAATAAACTTTCCCTATACATACAGTCACAGGTCTTTTTAGGTAGTCATCCTGGGCTGGATTACTAAAAACACACACTAAGAAATCCATAGCTCCATGTTCAAAATCAAGATGCTGTGGAAGATACAGTATCTAGGTGGTAAATGCAATTGAGCAGCATGTTGTAGACCAAAACCAAGCCATTTAATACTGTTAAATTTGGGTGCATCATTACAGCCCTTAGGTAAAATACTGATTTACTTATTACTTAGTAAAATAATATTTAGGGAGTATTTTTTCTTAATTTTTAGTTATGGTTAAAAAATTACATGACATACAACTTACCTTTGTAACTATTTTTTATGTCAAGTTCAGTAGTGTTAACTACCTGCACATTACATTGTTATACCCGGTGGTATCTTTCTCAGTGGAAAAAATTACTTAGGACTTAAATCCGAAAGAAATAATTTAAAGAATGTAAAGCTGAATTAAGATGCTACTTTCCTCAAGACATGTTTTATGGAATACTGTTACTGTAACCTGTGCCAGGTAAAAGAGGAACATCGTCAAATAATTTTTGGAAATGTAGCAAGCTATGTCCCTCCCTGGGAAATTCACAGGGAAAATTTGTATTTGAAAAACTCTGAGAGATCATACTGTAAAGATCTCTTTGAACTTTGTATAATACAGAGTATCCCAAACTAATTTTCTATAGACTCTCCCCACCTTTTTTGGGAAAAAAAAAATTGATTTTTATTCTTCAGAGCTAATGTTCTGTAGAACACATTTTAGAATATTCTCCTCTAATAGAACTTTGGCAGGTTAAATCAAGGGAGAGAGAGAGCTGTAAGGCAATCTTTATGTTATTTATGGCTCTGATGTACCATTTCTTTATCCACATCTTGTGGATAGGATATTAATGGATATCCCATTAATTGGATCATTCAACAAATATTTACGCACAGTGTTAAATGCTGGGAATACAGTACTGGGTAAATCTATCAGGGCCCCTGACCTTACAGAGCTTACAATTCCATTGCCTAAAAAAGAAAAAGGAAATACAGGGAGCAAAAGCAGTATTTGCTGTTTCTGGCACTCAGCTTATCTGGCTATGTTTGTTTTGTTTTCCCTAATTCTCAAATGGGGGGGGGCGGCGGGCAGGGAGAGCAGAACACCAGTCTAGAAGTTTACAGTTGGCTCTTTGAATAGAGATATCCCATATTTGCCTGAGATCTACTTATGCATCAGCAATATTCAATGATAATTCACTAGTAATCCAAAGATGGCCTTCTCTTGTTTAGAAAGAGAGAAATGGGAAAGAAAAGAAAGCAAGGGAAGAAGGAGTAAAAGAAAACACAGTGTTTCCTGGTCTTTTCTCCTAGTGTAACTCCTTAGCTATTGATGTTACTTTCCTTCCACACAAGATTTCTTTCCAGTGTCAACTGAAGACTGATCAGCGGTCTGCATGTCATCATTGTTTTTCTAATAATTCAAAGAGTATCTCTCTATCAGCTTCAACCCATGGTAGTAACCATGGGTCCTACCTCTGTCAGGAAATATTTTCTCTAATTAGCTATCCAACCTTCTCTCTCAGGCTCTGACCTTTATGTTGGGGAATCTGTGCCTTCATGTGAGCAGCACATGTCTCCTAAAGAAAAGAAAAGACCAGCCCACAGGCATGGACATTGCTTGG